TACAGAGTTCCCAACAAAAGTTTCCCATTACTGAAGGGAAAAAATACAGGTCAGGCAAGCTTATCCAGCAGTAGTGAAGCACGCCCTTCACAACGCGGTTGCACCTGTCCTTGGAACTCCACTACGGTCTGGCCACTTCATCTTGGCACTGACAAAGAAAACTGCACTGTTGAAAGAGTGCTGAGATAAGGAAGGATACATTAAGAGAACATATAAAATAAATAAAAAGCATCCATAAAACTTTCTTTCCACACACAAAATAACTTTTCCTTTGGACGGTGATTTCCTTTTTTTTTAATTGACAGCCCATATAGAGATAAACCTTTCACCAGAAATCACGTGAAAATGCTGCTTTTACAAGCAATAATAGGGCATTAATCAAACCATCAGTCTTCTGCACAGTGCCGAGCCTCTCCTCAGAGTCGAGGGTGCCAAGCTTTGGGGCCAGCCCTGCTGTGGAGCACAGCCACTGATGGCCCTGGGACTGCTCAGCACAGCAGGACTGACACTCTGCTCCTGATGAGTTCAGTGTCTCCAGACTAGAGAAGAACCAGTCACCACCTTGTCAACTAGACCAGAGTACTGAGCGCCACATCCAGTCACTTCTTGAACACCTCCAGAGATGGTGACTCCACCACTGCCCGGGCAGCCCCTTCCAATGCCAGACCAGCCTTTCCATGAAGAAATTCTTCCTGTTGTACAGCCCAAACCTGCTCTGGTGCAGCCCGAGGCTATGACTTCTTGTCCTGTTGCTTGTTACGTGGGAGAAGAGGCTGATCCCCACCTGGCAACAACCTCCTTTCAGGTAGAAAACCCAGAGGTTATTTGCAACTACGTTTTAGAACACTTGTCAGGAACAAGTCACTCGGACACTTCACTGAGGGTGATACTTTCATACCCCTGGCCTGCTAAGCTGCCACTGTAGGAGAAGTTGTCCAGAACAGAAAAGTCTGTGCTTTTGAGAAATCACAGATATGAACTCAGCAGTCATGGTTTGTGTTCTTATGACGGAGGGCACTGAGCTCCAAAAAGCTGAATTACAAAGTAGAAGTCCATGAAAACGAGTAGAGAGATGAGGTGAGTTGGCATGTCGTACCAAGGGAGATGCATGTCTAAGTTGGATTACCTTTTAGGCTTTTAGGATGTCAGATTTACTGTGCCTCCTTGCTGCACAATAACCTAAGGCAAGAAGCTTAGCTTTAAAATGAAGAACATTACATCTCTAACCCCCCCTCCATGAGTCACCATAAGGACAGAGATTAGAATTAACAGTTCATGCTGCTTCCAAAATCTTGTATAGAAACAGTTCACTATGTCCTTCTGGCAGTTTTGAAAATCTGCAAATTCCTCCTTCATCTCTCCATTTTAACAGAAACAGTCAGGTCCCATTCCCAAGACTTTGTTGCTCAAATTCACAGACAAATGAAGTTCGTATTCTCTCCCCTTGGAACCCATTCCATTTCCATCCTCACTGTCTGGATTTGTTTACATTGTCTTTTTTGTCCTAAGGAAATGCATTGGCAGTGCAAACAAAATATAGGTATGATGAGAGCCTCACCCACCCCCCTTCCCCAAACAGCAAGTGTTCACCTCAGCGTCGTAGAAAGCCTCACAGGGTGTTATCTGCATGCACAGGACTCCACTGTCATGTTGGGGTACACCTTCAGAACCACATTTTTGTTTTCATCAAAGAACAAGATACTAAGAGAAGACATTTTGTCAGGAACACAGCAAGGCTCAGGAATGCCAGGGACAACTCCGACGGCTCTCACTATGCTCTGGATGGTGGCGTGGTTGGATGGCTTCAAGGCCTACAAGAGAGA